TGCTTGAACTCCTCAGCGACACGTCGTGCGTCGTACGACAAAATACTACCATTTTTATAACGCTGTTTGCAACGGCGCAACGTAATTCAATTGTGCAATTGTCTCCTCTTTAATATTCATGTTTGGTTCTGCTCATGGAAGCTTCAATCACTTCACGCCACTTTGCTTCATCGTCGCTTGACATTGCTTGAGCCTATGTAGTCGGTAAGTCCGAATCATCCTCATGAAAATAAGAACGGCATGGGTAATGGATTCATCTGCTTCAATCCTGCACGTTCTGGTCATGGTAGGCGTCTATCGGCTCATATTTTTGTCTTCTGCGCTCCACTTCATCTCAATTTTCTTGACGCTTATGAGATAGATAATACTTTGCTTGTTCCAATCTGTTTACACCAGAACGATTGGAGCGCATCAGCTGGTGTATACTGACAGTGTACGATCAACATAGTCAATTATGACGTCTCCGACTAGTTTTTCAACAAATTTATACAGGCATATCCCGAACTAGCTTTTATTTCAATTGGGTTTGAACATAATCATCATGATGGTTCCAGATATATTCGATGGTCGCATCTGGTGTACCACATGCGTGTAGTCTGTTTAATTTGCGCAAGTCTAACCTCATTGAGCGGGTACTTTAATCTTGGCATTCTCTAAGTCATACACGCAATACCCCTTGACATTTTCCAAATGAACGAGCAAGTTACAAGTTAAGCCTATTGCATGGCTACATTCGTATAACCGTGCGACCCAAAAAGGCAATAGTGGTCCATTAGGAGATTCATCGTAAAGACCAACTCATACGGCGTGACGTCGGATGAACTGTATTCGTCAAGCGATTCAGCAGATAAGCTACTGTATTCATGGCTTTCGCCTACCATTCAGGTGCAATGTTTTTTTTATGGTAAAGCATACTGCCGGCCTTTTCCATGATACTCCTGCTCACGCGCTCCGCCACCCTATTTTGCTGAGGGCTCTATGGGGCGAATCGTTGGTGGACGATGCCGCTCCGACGACATGTTAACCATCGTTTCGAAAACAAGTTTTGTTCTGTTGTCAGATCATGAGCATTTGATGTGGATACCCTTACGACTTTTGTTAAGAGTCCTTGAAGTTGCCAGACACTATTTTTGCTCTAGGTCAAGGAAGACGAAGCCTATCATAAGAAGTCATCAAAAAAAGTAGAAATATATTTACACTTCCCTTCGATGGAGTTCGCATTGGATCCATGATACGCTCCAGAATACGTGTTGTCTACGCAATCGAACGTGAGGGAATGCTGTAACTGTCTACTTACCCTTCAGATACTCTGTACATATACATTTTCTGTAACTCGTTTGACCATCGAGATGCCTTTGGACGAGCGCTGTGTTTTAAGCAAAGCATCCTTATTTGGGTGTCCTAGCATGCCATAGCCCCCACTGAGTGTCATTTCTGGAATATATATCTCTTCCTGCTTTAAGTCGAGCATGTAAGCATTACCAATCGTTGAACAAATACAGTTTCTGTTCCATAGGATACACGAAGAACGCGGAAACTCCACACTCATACCGCGATCAGCAAGTTTGCCAACTTTCAACAATATTTTGTCAAATACTGGGATACATAAAACATCAATCATGCAAATCCCCCCTTTCCACGCGAATCAGTCATTTACGTAACCGTGCTGGATTGAATGGTAGAGCAGCCGCTTTCCAAGCGGCAGGTCGTGGGTTCGATCCCCGTGACACACAGCACATGATTCTTGATCACTACTCCATAATGTAAAATGACCGATATAGGTGAAAGCCTTAGCCGAACAAATTTGGAAAGGGTGAGAAAGATCCTCCGCGGGGATGCTAGTGTAAGTCCAAATCAGTCACTTTTTTACTTTACCTATTCCATTGAAGATTATTTTTTGTTGTCTGCAACTGTACCTTGATGTTTGACATGAAGTCCTGATATTAGAACTCGTTCTTTCCGTGCGAGCTCATGTGGGATGTGACTCCTCTGTCGATATGCCACCCTGCCGATCGTCCTTTACCCACTGTAAATATGACATCATCAATGCCATCAAATCTTCCGGCCGGACAGTCCGGGTTTACTTGACCCATCTGCTCATAATGAATACAATTGCCCTTGAATGCGCCGTTGTCGCGTAAAGCCCCACCTTTTCAAACGTTACATCGGTTATCTTTATATCTTCCTGCATTTCCGATTTTGCGAACGCTTTTCTGTAGCTTTCTATCTGTGCAGCTTCTCTGATCTCTGAGCAGATTCTTCCCCACTTTCAACCATATTCCAATCTCAGACTACCCCCAGTTAGCGTGACTTATCAATTGGCTCTTCCAATGTCTGAGGACCCACAGCTAGCTCGTCAAAAGCGTCTAGATGTTCCGCTGTATTGGTGTCACTTTCCATTTTGAAGTCGTGAAGCCGTCGCGTAATCGTCACACAATTGTGCATTGTCAAGCGATTGTAGAAACCACGTAGCGTTCGCCATGCTTCCATGGCACTTGTAGCCGACTCGATCTTCGTCTGGTGCTTCATCTCAGCGCCTTGCATAATGATACTCAATCTGTTGGCGTCGTTTGATAAGCCTTGTCTCTATGATATCGTTCTCATCCTTGAGGTTCATGGCATGCCTCAGAAGACCTTTACTCGTCAAAGTCATTCTCACATTGAAGTCTCCGTGGTTCTAGTTACCACTTCCCACTCAACCGATTTTCAGATTAATAGTGACATCTCGCGCTGCAATAATAATTTGGATGAAACGGAACCAAAGTAGTCATGACCGCCATAATCGTATGAGCCTGAATTAGCAAACTCGTCTATTACCTGTGTTTGGGTAGTGTTTGTCTGTTCCTCTCTGATGCAAATCTTAACGGCAGCCAATGGACACTCGCAGCGATAGTAAACAATCACTTCATCGAAAGGAATGTTCACCAAATACGGTATGACGGTAGTAAATTTCCTGTATAGCTGCTAGACGTAGCATCGGCGGACGATAGTCCAAAGATACGAAAAGCTTAAAGTGCAACAGTTCCATCACCCGAAATACTCGTCTTCGCTGGCACACCGTCAGCCGCATTTTGATCAGAAACACTATAATATAGTCTTGCCGTGACAGGACTTTGCTTGGGACGTTTATTTACCGTTTTATTGCGTTTGTAATGATAAAAATTGTAAAACCGACATTATTTCCCATAGTTAAGAATATTTCAAAAATAAGATGAACATTGTGCCATCATTCCTTAACTTGCAATAGCATTGAGACTACTTTACACTCCAAAGAACATCTGCGCTCTGAGGTGTCGTAGCAGGCACCACCAGCAGACATTAATGTAAACCAAGTCGTCCTACGAAGGCTTCACATGTCCGTGCGTCACAATCTGTATGTCGTTAACATATCTGTGGTGGCTGCAGCATATTTCATTATGGTGAGCGCTGTACTAACTCAAGTGGTAATATCAAGTGGTGAATTAAGTGTGATGAAACGCCTGAATGCATTACCTCACATATCAGCAATTACTCGGCTTTTCAACTTAATTTTCATTAACTAAAGCAGCACAGATTTCTGTGTGTTTGCACTCCCCTGAGAGCAGAAACCTGCCATAAGGTTTTAAAACGATTTTTAAGCGAGCTGACACTCATATCGTAAAGCTGCTTCCGTCGAAATAATACCTTTGATTCCATTGGAGTAAGGTGTGTCGTTGTCACATCAAATGGACAGGTTTGTAGTAACTTTGGTTCCGTAAAAGAGCCTGATTGAATGCTGCTGGGCGAGCAATTGTGCGGTACAGACGGTGAGACGCGCGACCCCAGTCTAAAATATTGTCACTGTTTATATACAGCGGTTCAACGTCGTCTCCTTGTCTCTTCATGATCGGGTAGTGATGCAACTCATCTACACACAAGATTTCGATCACCGTGAACAAGTAGATCCCAGCCCACTGCACCAACTGCAACGTCCGAAAAAGCGTACGCAGTTTCCGCCAGCTTACATACAAGCCAGTAAAGTTCTTTATCGCCATACAATGGGACACTTGGTAATCCGTTAGCGAGACAAATGTCGCTAGAATTGTCGTAGCTCGAGGTTGCCGTCCTTAATTCCAAAGCACAAGTGATAAGTCCATTTGATGTTCACTACGCAGTATCTCAACGTGCGAATATAATAAAAATGCTCAGAATTGGAAACCGCCAAGCGTTGTTGAGGTCTATTTCCTCTGTTTATGATCTCAAATTGACTATAAAGAGTAACATCACAGCCTGCTAGAAATTGATGCAGTGCCCCAATACTTTTATCTACATATCCATCATTCGATAAAATCCTCTTCGCACTTCATAACTGATACGATCATTGAAACAGCGTTCCAGTGGTTCTGTAAATATTCAGATCCCTTAACGTTATAGCACTCTGAAAACAGTGTGTCTGCGTCCATTAGTATCACCACTTGGAACGTTGAGTTTATTACAGCCAGTGCTTTAATGTAGAAGCCACGAAACTTGTCATGACAAGGTCGACACACAAAGGTGGACGACCGTTAACTGCAGCACTTGCAGCGCGTTCACAGACGTCGTAAAATGTCACAAACTGATCGTGTTTTTGCATCATGTTTTGAAGCTCTAGACTCAAGTCTCCACAATGTGGAATCTCTACAGGCAGTGACACTTGCAGACGTCGTAGTTCAAGTAAAAGGGAGAAACCAAGTAGTACAAAATCAACGTTCAAATGCTGTGTTTCTTGCCATGAACTGGTGGTAAAAGCTCACACTTGGCCTGATACAAGTGGTGGAACGTTCCAAGCCAAACGGCGACGATAGATCACGACTTGTTGCTATAATTCATAAAACATGAAGAGAAATGGACTTTATATTATCATCGGGATCAAATGGCAGCGACGTAAACGCAGCCATAGGCCACCAAAGCCGCCGATCGTAATCCGAGAAGTATCGAATCATACAAAACCGGTATTGCTATGGATGTCTAAGATCTTACTATTTGCTACTTCCTTCCTCTAACTATTTCTTTTCCTCCTGCACTGCTGCGTCGACTAGTGAATTCCATACTTGGCTGAAAGTATTTTGATGGCTTTCCTTCATCCAACTCTGCAGCTCTTTTTTCAGAAAGAATTTGCCGTTTGGTTGACTCCATTTCATGATAAGTGCACGACGTGATGCGACACGATTTTGTTGAAGCGTTAGAACCAACAATTGAATCTTCTTGTCAAACTTCTTTCGAATCAACGTATGACTGGATTCTTTCAATGCATTTGAAAACGGTAAAAAACTTGAAATGACTTGGCCATCCAACAAGAACTTGGCAAACCAACGATATTTATCACCTAGTCCATCTTTCGAGTCCTTTGTACTTCCATCAGGATACGCTATGCGCATCGCTGGTAGCGACCACTGATGTATCCCGTACTGTGCTTTAGCGTAGCATTGAACCTCATCTAGCTTGCCGTCGTAATAAGGTGAAGGCTCAGCGAGCGGGGGTCCATACTTACATAGAGGTGTGTCTTTTCCGATACGAGCGAGCCATTCGGGTTCAATTGCAGTCACAGTTTTCATATACGCACGTGTCGTACGCATTATGTACTGATAAACAACAAATTCTGGTAGCTTGCCTGGATTAGGCGTAAAGACAGACGAGTGCGGATGAATGTACACGGGTTCTTTAATCGACCCCAATGCTGTAATGTACGCACAGTTCCGCTCAATTTTTGTGCCTTCAGTAATCGTTCCAGCTGGAACACGCTTCGCAACATGATCCAAAAATCCAGCAGCTACAATCTGTCGCAACACAGCTTGCGTCTCAAGATCTGGAGGTGGCATCTTAGGACTCACTTGAACAGCCTCAAACCCCTTTTCTTCTGCGTACAACTTGTTTACAATTCGAGTCAATTGTTGTCGCAGCTTGAGCATATTCTGCATTGTTTTTTCATGCAAATGGTTAGTTGTACAAAATTGGCTACTACCACCAGCGAAAGCATATGCACCAGCCGCACGCAGAAGACTGAGAACGTCGCTCTCTTGGTCAATCCATTGTGCATGTTTCCGTAATTCTTCAGCTTCTCGCCACTCTTTTTCCATTTCTTCGACCTCATTTTTATCTTCTCCGTCTTCCACTCTTGCCTCTTCTCGTCGGTCCATAGCGTTTATAAACGGCGAGTGACCCGAAAGACCCGCTACAATAGCGATCGTATACTCAACAACATTAAGCTTTTGTGCAAGTAGCAGCATCTTCGCAAACCGTGCGGCTACTGGATATTTGACTAATGTACGGCCCAACATCGTAATAGCTTCGTCACCATCACTTGAGATAGCACCAAGATTAACCAACGTTTCCAGCGCATTCTTCACTGCCTGGTGGTCAGGAGGTGTCGGAAATGGAAACTGCAAGACGTTGTGAATACCCATAGCTTTCATCTGCAGCACCAGGTCATCAATTGGTTGGCACAGAATTTCCGGCGATGAGAATTTGGAGAATTCCGTGTCATAGACAGCAGACGAGTACAGACGGTAACAATGGCCTGGGCCTGTGCGTCCGGCACGACCGGCACGTTGATCAGCGCTTGCTTTTGATATCCACTGGACTTGGAAGGATGAAATGCCGTTAGCTAGGTCGAATACGCGTTCCTTTGTACGTCCAGCGTCTACAACATACTTAATACCAGGAATAGTCAACGATGTTTCAGCCACGTTGGTTGCAACAACGATCAGACGATGCATTTCCGGAGGCGTCTCAAAAACCTTCATCTGCTCATCATTCGGAAGCAACGAGTACAGAGGAAGCACGTGCATATACGGCACAGCTAGATCATCATCCATTTCGTCATCTTCTTCCTCGTATTCTTCTTCCTCACAATTAATCTCGTCGTTTTCATCGTTGCCAAACACGTGTGCTTCCTCTAAATCAGCCTCTTCTTCAATGTCGTCATGTTCCCTCAAAAAATCATTACTTTTGCTTGTCTGGAACTCTAAATTATGTTGACGACGTTGAGCACGAAATACGCGACGATTTGCTAAATTTTCAGCCTTCTTGTTCCGCGCAGCAACCGAGTACATGCGACTAAGTTGACGACACAATCTCAGAATCTCACGCTGCCCGGTCAGAAACACAAGCACGCCACCTTCAGGCAGTTTCTTATGGATCTTAATCACCTTCTTATACGCTTCGTCTACATAATTGTCTAGATTTGTGCGCTTGTTAAAGTGTACAGTAACAGGATATTGACGCGCGTCTACGCGAAGAACAGGCGGTGGGTTTGGAAACAGGCGGTGGTTTTGTGTAAAATCCTCGACACGCAATGTTGCCGACATGACCACGAGCTTAAGTGGCTTAATAGGTTTGTCAGCTGTCTCTTTCTCATCTTTTAGCAACAACGCGTACGCTTCTTCTTCCTCTCGTGCCATCTGAGCGCGTAATGGGGCAATCCGTGACAGTAAACCAATTAGAATATCAGTATTCACATTACGTTCGTGCGCTTCATCCAGCAAAAGGATTGAGTATTGACGTAGCAAAAAGTCTTGTTGGATCTCTTTCAGCAAAATACCATCTGTCATAAACTTAATGCGCGTGTACTGACTTACATGTTCAGCATCGTATCGAATCTGATACCCGACGTGACCTTCCGGTGAACCAAAAGGTACATTCAGCTCTTCAGCCACACGTTTTGCCGTCGACACGGCAGCCACGCGGCGCGGTTGAGTCACCCCAATGCGTCCACTATTGATTGGATGATCAGGATGACCATACCCAGCTTCATACAAAAATTGCGGCACCTGCGTCGTCTTGCCACTACCCGTCTCGCCACACAAAATGATGACATCGTTATCACTAATTGCTTCCATAATTTCCTGTTCGGAACTGCACACTGGGAGCTGCATTCGCGCCAGTTGAATTGCTGGATTACGTGACAGTGTAACGAGCGTCGTTTTGTACGTCAAGGTTGTCTTTTTGCTCAGTTCTCTCATCTCGTCTGCAGTCTTTAGTGTTATGGGTATAGGCACGTAAGCGTCTACTACACTTGTTTCATCTTTTTGCGGAGTAGAGTGGCTGCAATTTGCAGCAAGAGCACGTTGCTGACGCTTTTCCTCATTTTTCTTCCTCAAAGCTTCCAGCCTTATCATTGCTGCTGTTTGCGAGGTGGTGCTTCGTAATCGTTCATCCAAGTCTTCGACTTCTACGTTAGCATCGAGCTTCGCCGCTACAGCGTCTCCATGCGCTAAATTGGAAGGTTCGTTTTGTGGGGATAGCATAGGTACTGAGCGACTTGTAATCGACGGCTTTTTCTTCCGACGTTTCCTCTTTCCGGCTACAGCATCATTGACAATCAAAGATGCGGCTTCGGTTTGGACTGGTGCTGGGATCTCAGCCAGTTGAGACCCTACTGTCTCCTCTACTAGCTCATCAATTTCTTCTTCATCATTTCTTCTATCCTTTTTCAAATAAAGCTCCCGCTCAGCGCTTTTGGACAGATCCAGACCTGCCTTTTGACGATTCAGCGAGCGTTTCAGGCGCTCACGCAGCGTCTCCTTGTGGCCCAACTGTGACGTGCTATACATGAGTTTCATCTGGTCTTGTGAAAGTTGTTGTTCCTGTAACGACTTAAACAAGCTTTCACGTCTCGCATCTTTGACTTTTTTAGCAGCAATAGCCTCTAATTTCTTGCGTTTGCTCTTGCTCATGTGATGTGCTTGTTCTAGTAGCTCGTTCGACACATGGTCAACTTTTTCCTTCTTTGCACGACGACTAGGTAGCACTAACTTTCCACCAATACCTTCACCGCCTAATTCCTCTACTAACTCCTCCGATAGTAGTCCAATGGCTTTACAATCTGTCGCATCGTCCTCAATAGCTTCGTTCTTCACCACCTCTGTACTCGTTTGAGTCTCTTGCTGTATACTTTTCGACTTTTCTAACGCAGTCAAAACCTTCGTCGTCTTGACTTTTTTCTTCTTTACTTTTGTATGTCCAGACTGCTTCCGTTTCTTAGACACCATTGTCCAAGTCCGATACTTGCGTGTAGTAACAACAAGCTAATCAAATTAAAATATTCTTGTCATTTCATCCAATTATCATCACTTATTAATTGACTGGCTAAACGTTAAGTTCATTTACTCAAACATCTTCACTCTACCTAGTGATACACCATGCCAACGAAGCGTGTGAAAGGGAAGAAGAAGCTCAAGTCCATCAAGGCAAAGCAGACTGATGCCATGGGTAGTAAGCGCCGTTTAGCCAAACTTGGCAAGGAACAGCGCAAAGGCATGCGTGGTACAGCAGCGAACTACATTACACGCAGTCAAGCACTTAAACGACTTCAAGTAACACTTAAAGACTTTCGTCGCTTGTGTATTCTCAAAGGCATTTATCCTCGTGAACCAAAGAAAAAACCTTCTGGCAAGGACAAGACGTATTACTACTTGAAAGACATCATGTACTTGGCTCATGAGCCTGTTTTAGATAAATTTCGAGCTTTCAAGACATTTATGAAAAAGATCACGCGAGCGATGGGAAAAAAAGACTATGAAGGTGCTAAACGAAAGCATGAAAATCGTCCGACATATGAATTGGACCATATTGTGAAAGAGCGGTATCCTCGCTTTGTTGATGCTTTGAGTGACTTGGATGATGCCTTGTGTCTGGTTCATTTATTCGCTATGATGCCAACGGGTAATGGTGTTCGTGCTGAGGTTACGAGCAAGTGTTTACGTCTTGTACGCGAGTGGCAGAATTTTATTGTGGCAACAAGAGCATTAACAAAAGTTTTTGTAAGTATCAAGGGTATTTACTATCAAGCCAATGTTCAGGGTCAAACCATCACATGGCTTGTACCGCATCAATTTACACCCACGGTGGATAAACGTGTAGATGTGCGAGTGATGCTCACGTTTCTTGAGTTTTATGAAATTTTACTCAAGTTTGTAAATGCTCAGTTGTATATGCATATTGGTGTAGCATATCCACCCAAAATTAATTTGCAATTGGATGCTGCTGGTGCTCAATTGGCTGCTTTGGAGCTAGAGCGTACAAAGGAAAGTGAGCCGAAGAATGCTCAAGGCGAAGAGATTGAGGATCAGAAAACGTTGGAAAACATTTCACAACAACAGAAAGAGTCCGAAAAACGGATCAAAACGCTATCACTTGTCCAGGGGGTCAATGGTATTATTGATGAGGATATCGAGGACGATGAAAAAAATACGTACGGAGAACTGAGCGAGCCACTCGAAGCTGCGTTTGCATTTAATGAACTAGCGGCACAGATTCACAGCGATGAGCAAAAAGAACGCAGTGAAAAAAGTCTGTTTAGTGGACTCACTTTCTTTTTATCACGCGAGGTGCCCTCAGCTTGTCTGGAGTTGGTACTTCGCTCTCATGGTGCTCAGTTGGGCTGGGATGGTGCTGGGTCTCCATTTGATGAGAAGGATCCACGTATTACGCACCACATAATGGATCGTCCACATCAAGGCCATCGATACTTTAATCGAGAGTATGTACAACCTCAGTGGGTTTTCGATTCGGTGAACAATGGCATTCTGTTGCCATTGACGCGCTATCTCCCTGGTGCCGATCTACCGCCACATCTATCACCGTTTGTGAACGACCAACAAGAAGGTTACACCCCAGAATATCGCAAAGAATTGGAGAAACTCAAATCAGCGTCGCAAGTTTTACGTGAAGTAGGAAAAATCGAAAATGAATTTGAAACCGAGTCTGAGGTTGAAGACACAGAAGAAACTTATGCCGCTGATCTCAAGGCCGAAATTAATGGCAAGGATGAAAGGAGTGAAGAAGAAGATAAAGATGACGAAGAAGAAAAAGAAGAGGAAGTGGAGAAGGTTACGTCATTGAAGCGCAAGCCAGACGCGACATTGAGTGAGAAGAAGTCGAAACGTGTCAAGAAGGAAGAAGAAGCAGCAGAATTAAAAGAACTAGCTAAGACGATGATGTCCAAGAAGGCCAAACGACTGTATGACCGCATGCAGTACGGACTTGGCAAAAAGGCCGATAAGATCCAGAAGCTTGAGGACAAACGTCTCAAAATTGCAGCTGAGAAAGAAAACCCGACCGAACCAACAAAAACAAACGACGTTTCGAAGAAGCGCAAACGAAAGACTAAGGGCAAGAGCGCCAAGTAGATATAAATTCTCAATAGATCCAATCATTTGACACCAAAACACGATTCTTATTAATTTCTAGCTACATTTGGTACTTGCAATTGATGATCGATCGTACGTACTAACTACATGTTGGTTCACAACACACGAACACGAAATATCTATCATTTGAGCTCACCACTCTCATTGAAACGAAGACTAGAGTGACTATGGATGCTCAACGCCTCCCTTTCCTCAGCAAAAGACGTCATAGGCGCCACGATAGATACTAAGTACAAAAGTGCTCAATGCTTTAGACACGGAAGTACTATCCTCCTTGCCAACTTCATTTTTGTACATGCAGCCCAATGCCATCACGATAACAATGTAGCATCTTCCATCCCAAATGCATCAACGTCAGCCTCCCTCCTATCGTTTTTCGTATTGCTTAAGCAGCAGCTTTTGCCTTTGCCTCAGCCTGCCACTTCTTCCGCAGTTTTTTCGCTAATTTAGCTACTTTTTCATTACTGTCATGAGTTCAAACACACGGTGAATGTCAATGTCAACCGCACAGTTAATCGGCATTTACCTGGACTTGCGCAGTTTTGACACTGAGATTCCAACCTTGGAATCGATGATGTCTTGAGTATCTAATGACATACTGTGAAGTTGATCAAGTGCAGCTAGTTGCTTGCTGTGGAGCTTGCGCCCATTCGAGTCTTCGCTATTTTGATCCAGAATATGGTTCAGAGCCTTAAGGGTCTTAAGAGGATTCGGGCCAGATTCTGAATCAAATCGACAACGTCATCAATACAAACGTCGTGTATTTACATCCAAAGGTGCGTACCATTATCTGTCGACTGATCGTTACTTTGCTTGATCCACTTTTGTCGAAGCTCATGGGCTCGAGCAGAGACCTTGTCATTCCTAAAACAACAAATGCAAATTCTCATTCAAGCAAATCATATCAATAACGTTAAAAGATGTCCTTACATACCCGTGTTGACGAAGTTTAGACACTGCACGTGCGATTCCCGTCATCTTCAAATGATCGATGGTCAACGGCATCTATACAAACATCACGTCAGATTGAGCAGGACTAGTCATCAGCCTAGGACCACCAAACGTACCTCGCTCAACTGATTTAAACACAGCGACAACTCGTCATGTGAAGTTTCCGAGTTTTCCAATTTGGTTTTAAGCTCCAAAATTTCTTCGTTTGTAATTGAGTTCGGTGCTGGCACTATTTCTTCGACATTCCACTTCTTAACCAAAAAAGTCACTAATTCTGAAATCTTTGGCGATTTGTGGGATCTCAATTTACAAAGTTTCGGCTGGAGAGATGTCACTGCCAAGACCTTCTTGTCTACATTGTCTAAAGTCCTCAATGAATCGAGCGCGTTAATTATCTTCGACTCTAAATCCAGCGCTAAAGACAAATTTTTGGAAGCAGCTTCCAGTTCCGTTTTTGTTTTTTCTATATCATCAGCAACTCCATTTGCTTCAGTCACAACACTTTCTTCTCTCTTTTTAACATTCTCAGAGCTTACGGGCATAACCTTATCAGCCGCTTCAATCTTCTTTTCAGTCATCACAGGATCAGCCGATGCCAAACTAGGCTCTTCACATGCTGGGGACGTTGAATCGATCACATCTTCCTCTTCCATAGATGAGATCACCCGCGCCACTCCTTCTTTAATCGATGCTTTGTGGTGACGCAAATCCATGTCAAGTCGGTCCTCCAATAACTTTCTTACCGTCTTGGTTGTCATTTCTTCAAATGGACAATTAACAAGAATCCAACGGATTTCTTTCTCTAAGATGATACTCAAAGCTTCCGTCGTCATATTTCCTGGTGAGGGCTTCTTTTCTTCTCGAGTCTCCTTCTTTTCATCTCGAATCTCTTTCTTTTCATCTCGAATCTCCTTCTGCACTTCAGGCTTTTGACTTTTTACATTTGTTTTGGCGGTTTTCGCCACTTTCGGTGATGTTTTCCGGACTGCCACGTCGCTCTTACGCTTCCTATCGTCCTTCTTCTCTTTCTTCTCCTTCTCCTTTTTCTTCTTTTCTTTCTTCTTCTCTTTCTTTTTCTTCTTGACTTTTTCTTCTTCTTCCAATACATCTTCCATCTCTTCATTCTCCTCGTCCATTCTTTCATCATCCTCATCCACATCGATTTCTTGTGGCACAAGTTCTGGTGGCGGTGGTTCCAACGTTGGGTCAAGATCAGATGGTACCATATGAGGTGGTATACGTATGTCTTCAGGCTGAGAAAGATACTCTTCAACTTCATGTAGAGCAAATTCCAGTTCGTCCATCGTTCCCTTCTTTTTCATCAAATGCTGTGGATGGCCCTTAAGAAACTGATCTTTTTGAGAACAATTCCATGGCCGCAAAATGCCTTTTTTGAGCACCACAAGTGAACTAGATACAGTACCAGTTAGTTGTTATTGGTATCATGCCCTTTCACACTGGAGTGTATACATACAAATTATGCGAGCCAAAGTAATAGACAACAACAAAGTCGCTGGGAAAGTCTCGTGCTTTCTTGAGAATGCTCCGGTGGCCACTTCCTAGGATATGTAAGTTTGGACGGAGCTTAAACACGTCACAGATGTAGACAGGCCACCAAGGGTACCCCTCTAAGATGTACCAACCCAATGAGTTGGGCATCACTTTCTCCATCTTTTCGCTCTAGGTGTGAATCAAACGAAATTGCTCGTTCAGGGGACTTGGTGAGCATGCTATTTCACCGGTTGATGTTGTATATAAGGAATGTGATGTTGACCACAATGGTCAATACCATCAAATTAGTGGCTGCAATCCTCCCCCTCCCTCACTCATCGGCTCGTGATCCTAAAAAAGCAATAGAGTTTCGATCATGCCTTCAGACGACGAGCACAGTGTAAGCGACGTGAGTGATGTTGAGGAGGAGGTACAAACGCCTGCTCAAGAGGTGGAAGATTGTAGCAACTCGGATGTTGTGACTAAGTACAAACTAGCGGCTGAGATTGCACAGTCTGCTTTGCAGGGTGTTCTATCGCAACTAGTAGCGGGTGCAGACCTTGTGAAAGTGTGCGAATTTGGGGACCATATTGTTAAAATTCGCTGTGCTGCAATATTTAAAAGCAAAAAAGTGGACAAAGGATTGGCATTTCCGACGTGTATTTCGGTAAATGAAATCTTATGTCACTTTTCTCCATTAGCAAAAGAATCAATGACCGTCAAGGCTGGCGATTGGGTTAAGATTGATCTTGGATGCCATATTGATGGCTATATTGCTGTTGTAGCTCACACAGCTATTGTTCCAATGGAGGGATCAGCTGCTGAAGCCGAGTTTCCGGAACTTAATGGGGTTGAAGCTGATGTCTTCAAATGTGCTCATGATGCTGTCGAGCTATGTTCACGTCTTATTAAGCCTGGCAACACAAATTTGCAAGTCACAGAGGCACTTGCAAAGTTGGAGCAGTCGTACGGTGTGAAGAGTCTACAAGGAACGCTCATGCATCAATTAAAACGGTTTGTCATTGATGGAAACAAAATGATTGCTCAAAAGATGGACATTGAAAATCGCACTCCAAAAGTTACGTTTGAACCCAATGAAGTTTACACTATTGATGTGTGTTATACCACCGGCAGTGATAAACCAGTCACAAGTGAGCGTCGTACCACGGTTTTCAAACGTCAGGTGGACAAACAATACCGTCTCAAGATGAAGACTTCTCGCTACGTGTTTAAGGAGATTAATTCCAAATTTCCAACTTTACCCTTTACCATCCGTGCTTTTGATGATGAGAGTCAGGCCCGTATGGGTGTTGTGGAGTGCGTTAAACACGATTTGTTGCAGGCTTATCCAATCTTGGAAGGCCGTTCAGGGGACAAGGTGGCTCACTTTAAAATTACGGTGTTATTACTACCCAATGGTACCACCAAAATTACGGGGCTTGATTTTCCAAGTGACAAGGTTCACACGGACAAGAAAGTAGATGAAGAGACGGCTAAGATTCTTGCAACTTCGTTGAAAAAGAAGAACAAAAAGAAGAAGAAAAAGCCGGCAGCTTAAGATCATCCTGATGCTGTGAAGTTACAGTATCATGGAAAGGCTTAGCGTTGATTCCTTCTTTTGTCTCAACTTGCAAGCTACGAAGGACAAAGTACTGTCGTTACATAGGCTTTTGTTTAAGAGCAGGGGTAGAGAAAAGAATGTTTAGCTCAGAATGATCATTTCTGTGTTACTTCTGCACAGTTTCATGCGAGTCCTATGTAATGGCCAACACGGCTTCACCAGCAACAGTTAATAAATTTGAGGATTTGGACACCCGCTGTTCAAACGTGACCTACTCCAAGAGTTCTAAATCGATGGGTTCTTAGTCTCGCGTAATGAGACCTAAGACGTAGCTATAAATTGCAAATGTTAATGACAATGACCAAAGCATCCTTTTCTTAGGCCTTACCCGTTCTGACTTGCCTTGCTTCCCTTCAATCGTGTTGTCAACTTTAGCAAACTGATCGATATACAAAGAAAGTGTGGCATCAACAAGCTAGCGTCTGTGGCGACACCAACATTGTCGATCAGTACCTCAATTGAACTAATGACATTGACACAGCCATTGCCGAATCGATCACGATATGATGTGGTCCAGTTGATAAGCTGATTTGCAATTCGCTGCTCGAGGATTTGAGGAGCAGTGTGCGATTTGTTAGGCTCTTGCTTTTTATCAACGCAAAAGAGGAACCATTGCTGTACTGCAATCGGAACTGCAAATGAGCCTGCCGTGCTAATTCCTACATTCACGACCACCGAGTGATTCAGTCAGTAGCAATTGGCGATCGGCAAGGAAGAATAAAGAACGCGTTGGGCTAGATCTTTGCAAAGTTGAGTGACGCGCTGTTTCACATCGTTTGAACGTCACGAGACTCATCTAAATTCTTCCACTAGCTCAGATCAAAATAAAGAGCACTACGCTGGTGCTAAGTCATGTGTGATAATCTGCATTAACTGAAAGGCAATGGGAATACAACCTTTTTCACATGCCCACCTGTGGCTATCGCCAAGCTCAGAGAACATGTTTATGACTGAAAGGGTGTTGTTCGCTGCTTCTGTAGGGCCTCGAGCTTTTCCATTCATCAACAAAGTACATTTGGTCTGGTCCTCAGCGTTTTCAAGAATTGCAGCTGACACTTAGACAACGGTAGAACAGCTTCCAATGCTGTACTTCTTCAACATCTGCCAAGCTATATCTGAGTAAATACTCTCTGTACCTGAGGTACCGCGAGGTCGAGGAGCGAGGAAACGTCGTACATGAATTAACGATGAATCGCCTGACAATTTTCCGCAAAGGTTTTGTGTTTTGACTACTTCTTCATTAAGATCAAATAGAGTCCGTCGGCCGTCGGACTTTGATGTAGCAAGACTCCCGTTGCCTGCTGATACAATTTATACTTTCATCCCGAACAGCAATACTTATGGGAATGGTTCTGGGTGCACTACGACTTAGTGCCCAGTCTGCTACATGCTGCTGCCTCAAGAGTTTGATGATTATTTGTTGGGAACGATCCACCATGACACACTATGGTTTGAACTTACGAGAACGAAGAGTCTCTTAATGATGCAAGCGAGCTGCCAAGTCGCACAATCGTCTAGCGTCACCTTACCTCGAATACCTCGTCCGAATATCCATACGCTTCGAAATCATAAGCATTTGATACTGAACAATCACTTCGCCATGCGGCCACCTATGTGATGACTTGCGGGTGAATTCCGTGATCGGATCTGAGCAAGCTTACCAAACCACAACCACGTTGCATGTCGGATCTAACACCGCACTGGCCCGAACACATGTTTGAGGTAAAATGTCAGATGAGCATATTTCAATCGACATCACAAGCTTGTCATTAAATTGATATCTATGAAGCATTCAGCAGCGCCCCCGATTGCAGCCGATCGTCTATTTGATGATATTTTCGTTCCTCGCGTCGGTTACCGGTGAATGGAAACGTCACAGTTTGTTTTGTGTACAAACTGCGCACCTTGTCCTGCATGGCGTGCCTATCAATCCGTCAATGTTGGAAGTGTGCGCGTTCTTATTGATTATCAAACATAATCATGATTATCAAAAGTGATGCAGAGCTTGTGTGTACTGAAAGAGCTAGTGACTCTGAACTGCAATTTGCTATTGAACGGTTGTCAATCGGTCAGCCACAAATGCACATGTACTCTCTGCGCCACGGCCTCGATAACAACGTATCAAAGGGTGGCATGACTCAGTCATCACGCACAATTTTGATGTATTCAAATTTGATGGTTGGTTGTTTGGACGAGTCAATCGAATCAAGCAATGCTGGTAAATGGGTTTGCGTGTCCGCACCGATAATAGCTGCGTGGTAAGACTACAAGGATGACCGTGCGACGTGATTTTTTTATAGGATACTACAGCGCTGGTCATGATTGCTTTCGTTAACAACCTTGCATCGATACGGAGGGCATTATGACAATTAGAGGCGAAATCAGTATTCGTGCCTGTCACGCGATTTGCAGCTATATACATTTGATGCAGCTGTCAGCAGAGCTGAGTCTCACTCTTTATCTGGTACCAAAGTTTTACAAACTGAACGCGCCTGTATTCCCTGCTAACATTAGTAATGATCAATACACGAAAACTCGAGATATCGATAAATGTTTTATTTCACTTCACGTTTAGGTAGATTATACAAAAGTATCTATTGAGGGGTGTGGATGTTCTTATACGCACCGTCCTTTTCAACGTCAGTTCCCTTTCCAACTGAGCTGAACGAAGCTCGCGTGATATCAGTCGATGCGTATACCCTTTTGTAAAACTCAGCGTCCATGTCTTCAAATCCCTTTTCATTGTCAAACAGGCAGAACCAGGTAAGAGGGATCGACACGAGTGTGATGGCAGCAAACGTGTAGAAAGCGCCATCGTAACCAAAGCTGTCATTCTCGACCCAAATTGAAAAGCCAAATGTACCGATAGCAGCACCAGCCTTACCAGCCGCAGCCGACACACCGTGACACGTTGAACGGATTGGTGTGGGAAACATTTCTGTAGGCATGACAAATGTTGACATGTTGGGACCAAAGTTGGAGAAAAAGAGAGCTAGACCGTAAAGAATGATAAAAAGCACCGCTTTCTTTTTAATGTTCTCCCAAAAGATGGCAAGCACAAGGAAGAGCACAGTCATAACAGCAAAACCTTGCAACTGGATTATCTTGCGACCGAGGCGATTGATAAAGTACACAGCGACAAAGTAGCCGGGAAGAGCCATTAGGGCGACAAAAGCATTTTCTGCAGATACGACTTGAAGCGAGGCATTTTCAACTCCAACAACAGAGAGAATACTAGCCGAAAAAAGATTTTGGGCATAAAACACAATATCAAACAGAAACCACGTGCCAGCCGTACCCAAAAGACTCACACCATAGTGGCGAATGATGAACAAAATACGTGCTCGCGAAGCCAAAGGGTCAATTATCGTAGCAGCATTACGACGCTCCTCAATAGCCTTGTACGCGTCCGTCTCCTCTGCTGTAACTCGCCAATAGCACACCACGATAGCTGGGATCACACCGATTCCGAACAGTAAACGCCACACAGTCTCAAGACGGGAATCAGGGTTCTCGTTCTTCTCACCATCAGCAAGAGCCTGGATGATGAGATTGCCTAGAATGGCAGCAGTTAATGAGCCGACTCCTTGCAACGAGAAGGTGAGGGCAACTCGTTGATTGCGATTGGCAACGGAAGTCGCGTCTTCAGCCGTTGACGAGGCAGCAAGCGGGTACTCTCCACCAATTCCTATGCCAAGGATAAAGCGAGCAACAACGAGAAACCATAAAGTTCCCCTGTCGGTACCTCCATAGGCGACGGTACAAAGGGTTCCGCCAATTATAAGCAAGGCACACGTTGCGATCATATTAACACGACGACCAAAGACGTCACCAAGGAATCCGAAGAGAAGCTGACCGACGACGGCACCAATAAGTGCCCCAGCAGATACCCACGATTTCATACTGGACGTGTATACGTCCTTGCCATACTGCTCGGTGAGCACGACGTTGACAATATTCATCACAAATAGGTCGTACGCATCGTTAAAGAAGCCGAGACCACGTACTAGGAACTTGTTCATCTTCAATGCTTGACTGTCCCTTAGGAGACTGAAGTAATTTTAAAAATGATGCAAGTGGCACGACAATAACTGCTTCATTTGAACATGTTGTAAGAATCCGTCGTGAGATGGTCCACCAGTATGTTTGGATAGACTGGATAGTACCACGTAGGGGTGATACACATGCAGATCATTCAGAGATTCATATGTCGCTTACTTCTTGGTGTTTATACTAACTTTCTCGATACGAATCTAAAAGCGACTTCTTATAGCCAGAAAATGAATTCATGAATAGAATAAGATTGTTGACAAGATACAATTACAATGTGCTAGAAGCCTGATGAACTCGTACGACCTTTGGAAATACATCGATACTTAAACAGGATCGTTATTGCAGGCAAACATTGCGACTTGTCCGTGTAATATAGCGCAGCAGCGCCGACAAGCCTTTGTACTTTTTTGGTCCTCAAGATTATCCGGCCAGGTCAACAACATCGAGAGCGTGGGGCATATAGAAGTGGAAGTTTACTACGTCCTTGTTCTTCGTAAAAGGTCTATACGCTAGCACTGCGGAAAAAGGGACGAAGAACCCACAAAGCAACAAGGCCGACATGCACCGGATATAAAGGATCAAAGTGTAGAATAAGAGACTCCACATCCTAGACGCAAACATTCCGAGCGGGTCGGAACACCTCAGAAATCACAATATGTTCATATATGGACACCCTCCTGTTGATGGTTACGAATTGTGTTTGCAACAACATATATGCTTGGCAGCTTGATTTGCGATTTATGGTAGAACGGCTGAATTTCTCACGTAGACTGATTCACCGTAAAGTGACTTCATATGCACCATAATGATAGCCCTAAACATAAGTAACATAAATCTTTGTAATGTTTGTTCTGTCCTCCTTGTCTGTTCAGCCGTATTATCACAAATCCACAAAAACCGACTTTATGCTTTGAGAGTATGCACATTTAACAGAGACGGAGACTTCCTTTTGATATGGCGCTAGATGAAGTGTTTATGCATCTGCGTATCTTTGAGATCGGCCAAAAATTTGGAGAGAACCTACGACAGGGGGCTGGCGGCCACTTGACTGGACACGTTTACTCATCGTATTTGAAGATTGTATTAGAAGCTATGACATTGCTATGGACCATGCTTTATGAGGTAAAGTATGTCATCTATCGCAGTTTGATACAGTTTTTTGGTAAAATGTATGGATGTCTAGTACTTTGCGTTGTCTTTGGATGTCGTTGTCGTCTGACTCTCAGCCAGCGCGCTGTCATCAACCTGAGTGGAAAGTATTTCAAGCGACGTACCAGCTCCAAAGCTAAGAAAAGCTTTCAAGACTGGTAAGCTTAGACTTACAGCTGACCAACTCAAGGGTAGTGGATCTGTCATACATCTTCACCCTGCATCCTATGAGAAGGCACTCAAGGCTCGCAAGGCAGGTCGCGGTGTGCGTCTTGACATCACCAAGCATGAAATCAAGAAAGGATACAAGCAGGCTCAAGGTGGATCGATCTGGTCCAAGGTATGGGGTGGTATCAAATCAGCCTTCAAGTTTGCTAAAGATTCAGGTCTGTTGTCTCGCGCAGCTGATGCAGCTGTACCAGCCATTGCGACCGCACTCGGAGCTCCCCAGGGTGCTATCCCAGCAAGAGCAGCAATCCGTTCAATGAGCGGTATCGGTGTTTATGATGACGCGGGTGATAAGGAAGGAGGACGACTAACTATGACTGACGTCAAGAAAGGAGCAAAGCGAGCGCTATCATATGCGAAACGTAAGGGTATTCTAACTGATGTAGTTGATTCAGGTGAGAAGTACCTACTATTTAAGGCTACTAGGCCTGAGCATGAGGATCTAATTAAGTCTATTCGAGGTGAGGTACGTCGTCGATATAGCGTTGGCGTTGCTAAGCCCAAGGGTAAGAAGTTTGTAAAGGGCTCGCATGGCTAAGATTCGAGCTATGCGTGAATCTGGTGGGAGTTTGAAGAGATACAAAATACCATCCAATTCTGATAAATATAGTAATATTATATAAACATCCGGGTATATTTACCGTATTCAACATATTCAATCTGACTTATGCTATGTAGGCAGCACATTTAACCACGATGGGCGCAGCATAAGAATGTATTTGCAAAGTGGCTTAATCACAATCGACCATGTGCAGCTATGATTTATCCTCATATGCGAGATCATGGTTTGGATCAGTTTAAATGCTTTCTTATCAAGGAATATGATGTAATTGACCGCGTTCATTTAGAGGCTTACGAAACGTTATGGATTAAGAAGCTTAAGGCATGCAACAAGAATCTTCCATTTGCCATTAAGAAATGACGGACAAAGCAGCTTATGCTAAAGACCGTGAAAATAGACGTGCTAAAGTTAAAGAATACGCAGCAGCAAATAAAAAATTGATTGCTCAACGCACACGAGCATATCGTGAAAAGAACAAAAATTTCATTAAAGTTAAGAAATCCAAATCATTTGCGTGTGAATGTGGTGAAAGCTGGAACAAGGGGCATTGAAATCCACGCCATGATAGAACAAAAACCATCAGAACTGGTTAGCAAACCAATCACAAGCATTAGCTAACTCATTTTTTTGGTCGAAGCAGCAGCATGATCGATACTGAGGTATCGCGAAAGATCACCTTCTTATCGTTTTGGTTATAGATACTGATTGTAATTGTAGAGCGAGAACCGTTATGACAGTTCATCCACGCATACTGACTTGGTTTGTATGATATCAGCTTACCAATTTCAGAATCACCTCTATCGAATGTTTTGACAATATCACCTGATGCAACATACTCATTTTTGATCAAATCACAACGAACGATGTATGAGCTGGTAGGATGAATCTGTGGGATGATATTGGATAGCTGAGCGCTTGCAACTGTAGCTGAGGCAGCTGGGTAAGTAGCAACAGTCAGACCAACCACCTTTCCAAACTTAGCATTGTCGATAATTAGTCGAGGAACACGAGCTGTAGTAGGCAATCCAGTACCACTAGCAGAGTAGAGACCAGTAGCGGGTCGTGTCCAAGTACCACTCACAGTTGGCAACGTTGTTGGCGTAGGTGAAAAGTCGATCTGACACGCGTAATAAACACTGTTCTCACTCAGCTTTAGATAAAATACGTTGTTCCCAGTTGGATCGATCAAATACGCTCCAGCATTGACAAGAGCCGTCTGAATGCTACGATTGATATCATCATAAGAATAGATACCATCCAGAAGAGTAATACTGATAGTTGAGGTGGTAGCCGCTGTTGGAACTTCAACTTTGAAGGTAGTGTTTTGGAATTGCATCGCGTCAATGTTGTACTCAGAGTTGTACATGCTAATGCTCTGGACCGCGCAAACTACATCACAAAAGTCAGCAGCTGAACCAGGGAACGAATGTTTCCATGTGCTGTTGTAGTTATCCTGAACGAGGTTAGTCGAAACGAGTTTCAGAAAGCTCACCATTGAAGCTGTATATTGATCCAGTCAAAATATTTTTAATGCATCCTGATATTTAGAAGATTAAGTATAATAATATGATTGGGATTGGACGCGTATATAAGATTACTAACACAGATGAAAGCATGGTAGTACAACTCAAACACTGAGCCAGCGTTGGAAAACTCATAAAAATCATTACGAACGGTGGGTTAGTGGTGAAGACAGAACGCTATCAATCTATCAGTATTTCAAAGAGCAAGGCATTGATCACTTTAATATCAGTATGGTATCACAACATAATATCACAACTCACAGCGAGTTAAGAAGATTGGAACAGCTAGTTACTGATAACACAGCATGTGTCAATAAGATAAGGGCGTTCAGATCAGTGCAGCAACTGGCTGAATATCAGCACGAGTACCGTGAAAAACATAAAGATGAAATTGATGAATATCAGCGACAATATCGGGAAGCTAATAGAGATAGAGTAAGAAATCAGATTCATCGTTTACCATCGCAACGCATCGAATGTCCATGTGGTTTGACATATACCCGATATCACAAAGCGCGACATGACAAATCAAAGCTTTATCAAGATCTTATAGCTCATTCGGATTGATTTCTTGGTTGAAGTTGTACCTTAACTGACTCTTCACGGAATCAATTAAAAGACACTGACCTTTTTTCGTCCTTCTGTAGCTTTATTATAAGCAATCATCGTTTTTTTGTCGTCAATTCCATTGATATTAAAATTTCTAACAAATCACGTTTCGAGTTAGCCTTGAGAATAGCTATATATTTGGAATTCAACCTAATCATCTTATCGGTAGCAAAATAGCTATATATGGCTTAAGAAGATCGCTGATAGTTTAAAATGCCGGCCACGAGTATAGTAATGTGAGAAGATGTTCTTCTGGAGTAGCTTGTCGTTGCTGTAGTCATCAATTATAACGAGCTCAGGGTTATTTAAACTCATTGGTGTATGGCGCACTTGATCAACTTTAGGTGGAGTATTGGGGTCAGCAAAAGTGGTGAAATTTTCTAACTTATCGCGAAGGTATTTATACAGTTCCTGATGCGGATTTGTTGCAATGATTGTCAAATGAGCAAACACATGAGGAGAATGCTTAAGGATAAATAGCGTCAGATTATTTTTTCCACAGAACGATGGACCAAGGACAACCATTCTAAACAGCTTTTTGATGTCAAGACCGGGGATGTCACCCATTACAGCAGACTTGAACTTTTTTGGCAATGAAGCACCAAAGTCTGGAATACAGCTCATGATCGTGTCTTTAGTTACTCGATCTATATAGCACGAGCCAAAAACGACAGAGATCAAAGATCTCCGGGTGGAAGTTTCACTTCGCACCACGATGAGTTCAGGTTTCTCCAATCCCAAGCCAATATTTGCATCACCGATCTATAACCCAGCATTCTATCTAACGTTAGATGCCAGCGGATATCTAACCTATGAGTACGCACAAACGGTTTATCTTGATAAGTATGATTATCGAATGACTTATATAACAGAAATTACGCCAGGAACGGCCACGCAAGGTATCGCTCTTGTTCCAGGTACTAATGCTGATATTAGTGGCATCAGCGCTCTGAGTTGTAGTAGCCTTACCGTGGGTGGATCCTCTATAGTAGCACCACCAGCATACGTAATTGGTGTCACAGAGGGGTCAGCTCTAGCAAGCAAAGCTCTTGTCCTCGATTCTAAATTAACAGATTACTGGAATCAACAAGATTATACTTCTGGGTGTATCCACCTCTACTGGAACTTCAGAAACACTTCTGAGTCTATCCAACGCGAACACATCGCCCGCTACTGCAGCGATTCAACTAAAGGCTGGAACTGCTGCAACAAGCGAATGCTTTATTCGAACTACCTCAGCAACGACTAAAACAGTGATCATGGTTTCAGGAGCCCGTGTTATCACTTGCGAGAGCACTGGAAATGTTTCGATAGGAGGGACTACTACAACCTACAAGCTTGACGTGGGTGGAACTCTTAACTGTACGAATCTCTATAGATCAGGCACCATTGCGGATATCACGTTAGTCTCGGGCATCACTACCATTGGTACTGGTCAAGCATCAAAAGCACAAAAGCTCGACGCATCTCGTAATGCGATCAATATTGCTTCTCTTGCGTGTGATACAATCATCGCGAACTCAGCTACGAATATATTAAATATCAATCCAACTACGCTTCAACTCAAAGGTGTAGCACTGACCGCAACAGCTACTCAGTTAAATGTTTTAAACGGTTTCACGGGGACAACAGCAAATCTAAATATTCTTAGCGGGACAAGCGTATCAGCTACTGAGCTTAACTATCTTGATGTCGTCATTGGTACCGGTACTGCTTTTAAGGCGTTAGTACTAGACTCTACTCGCAACATCGCGAATGTCAATAATATATCATGTTATTCGATCGATCTGTCGCTGCATTGGGATATCTCAATACACACGATTATCGACTTGATGGATTATCAATCAATCTATCTACCCGTGCTAGGAGCTACTGCTGGTACTGCTTCGCCAAGCAAAGCTCTTGTTATTGGTGCGTCGAGAAATATAACAAATATCGTATCAATGACTTCGACAGGCGATATTACAGCTGCAGGGAGCCTGAATGGATATCTGACTTATGGTAATTAAGCGGCAATTACAAGCGTTGGCTCGTTGACCGAGCTCGGTATCCATTCAACGCCTACACATGAATACTTTTCGATTACTGGCTCAGGGATAGATTACATCGATGGTTCATTTACGCGGATGATGACTCTGACTGGATTTAATGCTACCTCATCAAATGCAACATGGATTGGAAATTACACAAATAACGAATTGCGCTTTGGGACGAACAACTCATTTACGATGATTTCAACTACTACAAATCGATTAGGCGTGGGTACTACATCACCATCTGCACCTCTACATGTATGAGGTACTGCTAATTTTGTTTTTGGTGCTGGTGGTACGACAGTTTATCGCCTGTGAACAGATAACGGCATTACAGAATCAGCCCTGGGACCTATCACATATGCATGTGCAGGTATTTTTAGCGGCTATTTAGCTGCTACAGCCCTTGCTATGACATCGGATCGACGACTGAAGATAAACATTCAGCTATGTCCGATTGATCGAGTGATTTAGAGCTTGAGCCGGCCAAGACTCAACTCAATGTCGATTACAGCCGAATCGCAGCGTACAACATGAAAATGATTCAATATCTAATGCGTGAGATAGAGACCCTCAAAAAGGATCGTGATGAACCAAAGTATAGTCTTGCCAATATGGAAAATGAAACTCATTGATATCCGCAAGAGTCATCAAAAACACAAAGATACTCAGATGACGTCATCATCAATGGTAAGCTCCACAAGAACGTCAATTTTGGCGAAGTTCGTTATGGACACTATCGAGACAGTACTCATATCTGGCCACAACGATGAGCCCACGTAGCGGCTCCTGGTGGCTTACGGTCAGCCATCTTAAACGCAAAAATGCGCTCTAACGACGCCATGCTCGCCATGGAATTGCCTGAAGGCAAGGGGCGCAAGCTCCGAACCAAAGGCTCCAAGCTTGCTTGATATTCTTGGTAGATAATATATCTGATAATCTATACAATGGGTTGCGGACCAGGTAAAGAATTGAAAACCAATCTATCATCCGATGAGCTAAGTCAAATCATCGGGTGTACTCTCTTACAAGCTGATCGAATCGTAGTCCTCGGTGATTCTGTGTTTCTACCTACTCAGAACAAAGAGGGTGAGTCTGCCATACTTGAAGTAAGTATCAGCGATAAAAAATATCCGTCTATCGAGAATATTGAAATAAGCTGGTTCGGGAAGGTTTGACTTAGAGAGCGAACGTCTTTACAGCCTTAGTCTTTTTTTTCGGCTGGTAAGCCCACATACGACCACCCTCTATCTGGGTCGTTGCATCTACCTTTTTGATTGACTTATCGAGATCAGACCCATACAGCTGCCTGAGTTCTGAGGTCTGTCATGAATGATAAGGTTCTTCATGATAGCTTTGAGTTCAGCAACATTGTTATCGGCGTTATCGCCATAGCTACCAGCAGAACTGGAAGTAATGCGGGGGTTGAAGAAGAACATGACGATTGCGTCGTTTATAGTAGTCGAGTTATTATTTGTTTGAATTCTTTATTATCGATAAGGCGATTGCTGTACAGATCCACAGCGAGGGACTTGAGCTGCTTGATAATGCTCGAGTTGTCATTCTCGGGTTCCAACTTTTAGTTTGTCATACTCTGCACGAAGGGTCTCCATTGGATCAGTAAGCTTATCGTGGAAACTATACTGAAGGTGAGTGATTGCAAGGATCTCTTTGAACATTTTCTTGTCATCGATGCTGAGCTTATCATACGTTGGCTGATCGATATGTTGCTTATAAACGAGCGTTCTGATCATTGCCTGTAGCTGATCACTGATTTGACACTTGGGTCCGCACTTTCGACGATTCGGTTGTACGATGACTAGTGTTTTGGCATCAAGGTCAGGAATACGGATGTACCTGCTTCCAAGCTGACGATACACATACACTGATGGAGTAGCTAAGCCCTGAATCTCGTTGAGATTGTAGGTTCTTCCACGACGTACAACACCTTCTAGTGGCGCTACACCAGCTCCTCTCAAGCCACGGTCTTTAAGCCCCTTCCCACGATTGCGCTGTGCAAAGTCGTCCGCAGCTAGTTCACGTCCCTCTTCCTCCGCAACCTCCTGAGCTAATTTAGAGTACTTTTTAGCTTTAGCTTGAAATACTGCCTTTGTAGCTTTCATCGCTGACGCAGCTGCCTTAAAAGCCGATCTTGCCGTCTTTGAGTTATTTCCTTTAACGGCCTCTTTCGCTCATTCGAATCGTTTCATGGCTTCGCCATAACTTTGATAAGCGCGCTCAGCGTCATCGTGAAGCTTGATTCACTTTCCTCATATAACTCTTCACTCTGTTGCTTCATGTCGTCAGCATTGCTAAAGATGACCTCGCGAATGATCTTGAGATTGTCATTAACATCTTTAATCATTTGCTTCTCCTCTTCAGTTGCTGGACCTTCAATATCACTTGCAGTACTGTACGCATCTTCCAGCCCGCTTAAAAGCGCAAGGAATGTATCCATCCAACGTATCACATTCATCAGATCGCTCAAAGCATTTCCAGAAACAGTTTTATGGTCCTTATTCCTAAAATTGAATACTCTCTTCTTACTTGGTACGCCAAAGTAGTAAGAATCGTGAGTTCTTACTCCAGTCTTAGAATCAGCAACAGGGTGAAGACGAAATGGGATCACGACTTCGTTATCAAAAAGGCTTTTGTAGTACTCGTATAACATTTTCTTTGCTTCACTGTCAGGGATAGATAAAATTCCGTCAATATTTTCATCTTCATTTAAACCTGTTTTCGTACCATGACGGGCTTCACGCTCTCCATCATCGCCATAAGGCTTGTAGTCCTTGACAGCTTTCTCGATATCATCAGCTCCAACCATAGTTAGTACTAGTCCCCTATCATCGACCATCTTTAGAAACTGTCTAAGTGTGGATTGCCAATCGATCTTCTTCAGCGCAGTTGTGTGCTTCAGATTTGATTCTTTTCCAAATACATCAATGGATCCATTCCCGACCCAAACATACTGTTCTAATGAGCTTTTGTCAGATTTATATTTACCCTTGAAAACTGGTATATTGCTCTTGGTTAGACCATTTGACTCTAGCATCTCCGTGTTTCTGGAAACAATCCACAGCATTCTAAACTTACTACGTTCGTCGTCGGAGGTGGTAGAAGTTTATACTATCAAACGTTATATTTGGTAGCCTTCGTTCTTTTAGACCTTGGAGTGTGATACGATCCCGCACAACAGACTCAAATCCATTCGGACTAAGTACATCGTTGTTGCGCCCCCGACCCTGCTGCACACCCTTGGCGGAAACCTTCACCGTGTACAATTCGTCGGGTAGATAGAAGATATAGTTTTTCGAGGATAATGAGACCATAGCATCACCTGACCATTCATCCTTGAATAGACCAGGGGTACGACGATCAAACTTAGCCACGTCCGTGTTGTAAACACGTGGGAACCAATCATACTTGTGCTGAACGAAATGCATGTAGCTTGTACCAGCGGGTACATAGTTGCTAATATCGAGCATTTTCATGTCCGATGTCGCAATGCACACGTAGCTAGGATTTTTGATAACCGATTGAATGTTGTCCGTGCCAATAACTGCAAAGAGATCGTTCTTAATCAGATTGATATCGTAGCGACCGCTGTTGAAGCCAAGCACTGGTACTTGATCAAGTTGCTGCTTAACCCTGCCATATTCAGATCTCTGCTTACCAAAGCCAAGACTGCTGTGAAAGTCAAAGAAGCTTCCAAATCGTCGAAGTTGTAAATAGGTTTGATATCTTCCCAACAAAGACTTGAATAGCCCACAGTCTTGTCGACATCGTGAATTTTCCGCTTT